CTGAATAAAGACTGGACTTTAACAATAATATATTAATATTGGTTATTATTTATAACAAATATACTATAGTAATGATGTTAAAAATAGGGAAACTGGGAATGGATATTTGGGAACTGTCCATATTATCATAATTTTTCTATAAATCTAAAATTGTTCTAAAATAAGTTATATTCTAAAAATGCTATTCTCATTATTTCTTTTTGTCTTAGAAGTTTTGCATAAAAATAGTATTTATATTCACATATAATAGGTTTATTATTTTAGTGAATATTTAAATATTTCTCAATTTTAATTTCTAATATGCTAATATTGATATCTACAACACAATTTTTTTTTTGGTTTTTTGAGACAGTGTCTCACTCTATAGTTCAGGCTGGCCTTGAACTCACTATGTATCCCAGGCTGACCTCAAACTCCAGCAATCCTCCTGCCTCAGACTCCTGAGTGCTGGGATTACAGACATGTGCCACCACGCCTGGCACATCATTAATAATTTTTAAATGTGTAAAGGAATCATAAAACCAAAAAAAAGTTTGAAAACCACTGATATAGGTAAGCTTCACATACATGGAAAAACTCATGAATATAGTACCTCATTCTTCAAAATTATAGGATAGATATAATTAAAGTGTGAGGCAGTATACATATGTTGTATTACTCATATTTGTGGATTAAACTGCCTAGTATTTTCCCATTAATGTATTATTTTCTAAGAGATTCACAAAGTCTCCCTTTAACTTGTTGCTATGGTAATACACTGTCAAAGCCTCTGTGCAGTGTTAGTGGTATTGCACAGGTACTTATACTATGGTTCTATTAGCTGAGCGATGAAGGGAGAAGATGAGTGCGTCAAATACCTACTAAGATCCAGGTTCTGGAGGTTTTCACACATATATTATCTCTTAGGGATGACTGTCAAGGAGTGAACATCTATCCAGGTCTAGGGTCAGCATTATCCAACTAGAACAGTAAGTGAAGGAGAAGAAATATAAAACTCAACTACAAAACCCTAACAAGACAAGGGCAAGGTGGCTGACAAAAGAAAACTCATTACAGAGACAGTATATAATCATGAGGACTGGGGACCAGAGGAACTAACGAGATGGCACCAAAATGCAGGGTGAGGGTTTATGATTACATGTGAGAGTGAAAAAGACAAGTATGTAAAATGAGGTAGAAGTGGAAGAGGCAGCGGGAATAATGTTTGTTCTTCTCTTCTTTACTCAAATCCTCCCTTGCTGCTCATGCCACAGGATACCACCACAGACCACAATGCTAAGTCATCATCGCTGCCAACAGACCTTAGCTTATGCAGGATAAGCTTTGTCTTCTCCCACTACCCCTTGCACTAGCTCCTCTCCATCGGTAGTCTGGGACCAACAAAAATCAGGCATAAGAGCTTTGGGGAGGAGAGTGTGATAAAATACCTCCCTGGCAGCACAATCACCTGTTAACAAGAGGAAAATCTTGATCTTCCCAACTCTGTCAGGGTTAGTCCACCATCTACCACTATCTATTCACTATCGAAAAGACCAGCATGCCAAGATAGTTAAAAGCCAGAGTTTGAAAATACTAGTTAAACTTCAGAATAATTTAAGGCAAGTTTCACTGCCTTATCCTGTTAGGAATTTTATACTCATACTGACCTGTTATGGCTTATAGCTAGATTAGTAATGGCGAACCTTTTAGAGATGAGTGCCCAAACTGCAGCCCAAAACTCATTTGTCACAAAGTGCCAATACTACAATTAAACTCGACTACTGATTAAAAAAAAAACTTCATACATTAACATCTTTTGTCTGAAAAGAAATATAAATAGCTTGCATGCCATAGGTTCACCACCACTGATATAAAAGTTCCCCCAAAGCCTCATGTGCTCATAGGTGGGACTTTTGGGAGATGACTGGATCATGGAAGTGTGATACTAGATTAGTCCACTGATGGGTTTATAGCTGGATGTTGAGAAGTGAAGCCTAGGTGGAAGAGGTGGGTCACTTATGGGCATGACCAGGAGGCATCCCTTGATTCCTCCATACTGCTTCCTGCAGCCATGCCATGAGCAAGCCTCCTCTGTCATGCCGCTCTGCCATGCCACCCTGCCTTGGAGCCAGTCTTCTATGGACTGAAACCTCTACTAACTGTGATCTAAAATAAATCCTTCCTTCTCCTTTCACTTGAAGATGTGAGGTATTTTGTCCCAGCAATGAGAAAGTAAGACACTACCTAGAAATTTCCCTTCTCAGGCACTGTATTTTCCAAAAATATATACGAATAAATAGCCAACTAGCTGACTATTTAGACAAAAGAACATTTTCAGCCAGTTAAGACTCTGAAGATCATACAACTTTCATAAAGGTATCCAAAAGTATGTATGGGACTAGGAGGATAGCTGAGTGGTAGAGCATTTGTCTAGCATGTATGTGGCCCTGGGGAAGATCTCTTGCACCAGAAGGCAGGGAGGGAGGGGAAAAAAATCCTCATAAAACTCTATATAAACTTACCATTAATGGCTACTTTTAGCTGCTTCTAAGTCTATTTTAATACTGTTTAAGATGTCTAAATATTTTTCCTCTTACTTAGAAAAAGGTGACTGCTACCCATCCCATTGCCCTTCCTAAAACCTTTTCAGAATATTTAAAAAATGGCTTTCATTGCCTCTTACCCCTCAAAGATAAAAAAAACCTATTTAATGGAAAAAACCTATTAAAGCCATGCCAAAGCACTGGAGACACTGTTATGATGGTACCTTACCAGTAGATAAGATAAAAAAATGGATTTAATCTTTGTTTGTTTTTTGGTACCAGGAGCTGAACTCAGGGCCACTCACTTGCCAGGCAGGTGCTGTGCTGTTGAGCTATATCCACAGCCCAAAAATGGATTTAATCTTATACCAAGTTTACTTTCAAAGCAATATATCCCTTCACTTCTGAATCATTTATCAAATCAATACTTTCAGCAAGTGACTGGTATTTGACTTGTTGAGTTGCTTTTAACCATCTATTCAAAATGAAATACAATGTAAGTCACCAGATGTTTACAGTATTTTTGTAGTATTTTTGGGTTCCTGTCACAACTGAGTCCCCAACAGTGGATTTTCTTTTCCCTAACTTCCTTTCTGAAATTCCCTTTGTAGTAGAGATTAAAATAGAAGGACTACAAAGGTGAAAGCCTTGTATTTTTAGAGAAAGATGGTTGAATGAATTTTAAATTATAACTAGTTAAGATGTACTTAATAATCAGTTACACCATGTTAACAATATCATGTACACCCTAATAATTTTAAATTTAAGAAGCTGGAAATAAAGTATTTATTAACCTGTTATCAAGTATACAAAGTAACAGCCTATCAAGTATAATTTCAAAAAATCAGACCTACCATTTAATCGTTGTTCAAATAAAACAAGTATTTTGTTAATTTCAATGCACTTATTTTGGATTTTTGAGACAGTCTCACTATGTAGTTCACTGGCTTTGAACTCACTGTGTAGTCCAGTGTGCCTCAGCCTCCCCAGTGCTGGGATAAAATAATCACTCCCAATCAGCTCCTTTCACTAACAAACTTTCTCAAGAACAAAAAAACAAATTTGGAAAATTCACTGATTACAGTTACATTGAATTGGGTTGGGGATTTAGCTCAGTGGTTCCATCGCTGCAAGGTCCCAAGTTCGATCCCCAGTACCAAAAACAAAGACAAAATACATTGAATTTGGTACAAAATTCTTTTAATTTTACCATATTTCATAAAATCTAAAATGCCCATAATTATAAACTTCATTATTTCATATAACAGGCAAGAAAAAAAAGCTGCCAATTAAACTATAACATAAAGCTTATTTATACCATTCTGTCTTCAAGGAAAAGTAAAATATGAACCAAATCTGTTTTAGAATCCAGAAAATACTGAAAAAAAAGGAAAGAAAATACTGAAGCCTTTAACAAAATTCAAATAAGTTAGAAGATAAAAGAAAAGTTTTCTACAGATACAATAATCTTGGATACTAAACTTTGATATCTACGTATTTCGATAGTATTCCACCACAATTTTTAATTTTTAATGTTTGAGCTGAAAAGATAAAGTTTTTTTAGCAAATATATGTAAAATAAAATGAAAGCCAAAAAATGGATCTTGAGATTAACTTTAACTGTTCAGTGATGAAAACAACTGCAAAGAGCAATAGTTCACTCAGAAACAGCTGGTCTTCTAGCATAGAAGAAAAATCTCCCTCAAAATACTCCCCCCCCTTCAAAGCACTTATAGACAAAAGGTGGGTGTAGGGTTACATTCCATCCCACCTGCTACACTAACAAACACTGGCTCTAGCAGACAATATCCGTAACTGAAAAATATTAAGTACAGTAAAAGAAAAATAATATGCTCAAAACTGACAGATGGGAAAAGTATTTTCAAACTTACACTTAAAAAATAAGAGGTGAAAGCTAACATGGAATCAATACCTGGTAGAGTTCTTTTTTCCCTTCCCAGGGAGAATCTGAGACAGATTCAAGATTCTGAGTCACCACTACACCACGTTTTGTCACTCTCATTGTACCCAAGATATTTTTAAGTCTCCACTACAATATAATTAATGCTAAGAACTTTACATACTAAAACATTTATAGGCATATTGCTATCCAAATGATTTTTGAAAATCTTTTCTCTTCTCATGATAGTCCTGTGACAGTCTCTTTTGATAGTACTGACCCTTAAATTTAGGTGAACACCCCACTATAAAATGCTTTTCCTGCAAATCTCATCACTTGCAGAATTTTCCTAAAGACACATCAATTAACCCAAATCCAGCTTATCAGCATCCCCAGCTAACTAAAAGTCATGATTCAACACATAACTTTACATACACATAAAAGTTTTAACAACTTTTAGGACAAAAAAGGCAAATCGCCAGAAAACAAGTTGACTTCAGGACTCTTCAAAAAGTCCAGCTCCATTTATTCAATAAATTGCAAGGGCTTAGAAAAGGTCCTCAACCAATTAATCTTACCTGGCAGGTCTCCAAGCTGGCTGCGGCGGTGGCCAGGTCAGTCTTGCCAAGTTTACTGAGATTTCCAGGAAGATTTAAAAAAAAAAGGGGGGGGGGGGAAATAACTCCTCCGACTTAGGAGCTTTTGTCTAAAATTCTTTCTCTGCTGCGTATCTATCTGATCTCTTCCCTCTACTAGCTTACTGTCAACCGCCTTTACCACGAAATCACAAGCAAATGAAAAGCAAATTTTCCAGAAAAACAATCAGATGCCCCAGCCCACCTTTTAAAATTAGCTAAGGCACAACATCCCATACAAGGACAACAAATCAGTTGTTAAGGCACAGTACTGTCTTCAACCTCTAAAGATTCATGTGAAAGATGTATGTAAAATCTACTTACTGCAACTAAAAAATACATGAACATATATTTGAAATAGTTTCAATTGTTGAAGGGGAAGAGCTTATTTTATTAATTCAAATTAACCTGAACTGTAGCACACTACTTAGTAATTAAGACTTTACTGTGCATTTACCCCAAAATTTTCCTCCAAATATTTAAAATTTGTCTTCTGCTCAAGAATTAGTTTTTACAATAGTAAATGGCTATTTTAGAAAGGTGAGAAAATCTTCAATCACCCTTAATTCACTGCCTTATATTGGTACTGATGCACAAATCTGTCCTGCAAACAGACGAAGAAGATGGTGTGGCGGTCTCTTAGCACCGCATCTCCTGCAGCTCCTTGCACGAAGCCTGGAAGTAGCTGCCATTCAATAAATGCCTATTAAACACTTTGGTCCTTTCATAACAAGTTGAGGCATTCCAAAACACTCCACCCCTCCAGAGTCTGCCGCCAACTCCCGAATTCAGACCGCCTGTGGCCTTGCACTGATGAAATGAAACCTCGTCGCACAAGACCCAAGATGAGGGCAAGGGAGCCACCCGACTCCATCCCGCGGGGCAGCAGATTCTCCATTCATCCCGCCAGGCTGTACAACCGGAGGCCTTTCCTACCCATTTCTGGTAAGCTACGTCTCCCGCCAGGATCTGCACGCAGGGGCACGAGCCTCCGCCCCACCCCGCAGACAGCCAGGCGTCGGGACACTGGGGACGCCTGCGCAGAAGCCGCCTTCCACCCGCCTGGCCCCTCTAATCAGAAGGGTAACAATAACCCCTCAGAAAGACTGGCAGGGAGGGCGGGGGGGTCGGAGGGGACCACTGTACGTCTGCGCGCTCCCTGACGTCTTGGCGCGGCCTTGGCGCTCAACGGTCTCCACGTGAGCGCGCCCGCGCGCGCCATCACTGCTCTAGTTGACAGGGTCGCCTCACCTGAGCCGGGCTCCGCCCCCCTTCTCCTCGCTAGAGGAGGCGGTGACCCTTCTCTGATCGGACCTGATTGTGCCGGAGGAGGCGGGAACGTCCAGACTGGCGTCTCCGTGATGGGACTTCCTCCCCTTTCTGCCCGCCCCCGGCACACCCCTCTTCACGTCCCCCAGCTCCTTCAGCCGGTTCGCCACCGCTCTCTTGTGAGCCCAGCGGCGGCGGCCGCCGACAGTAAACGGAAGTGACGCGATGCAAGATCACCTACCCCGCTTCATTCCCCCGCCTCCTTGATGAGCTAAAACCAATCAGCAAGTGGGTGGGCGGGGCAGGTTCGGCAGTGCAACCAGCCGGTAAGGAACCTAGAGGAATTTACTCGCCCCTTGAAAAACTGACCAATCCACGGTCCCAGGAGTCTGGTTGTGTTTACTACCGACTGAATCCGTGAGCGCTCTGACCAATCACCGTTTACCTTACAATGCGTAAACTTATCAAACGCCTTTTAAGGCGGGACTTATCACTAAGCGACTCTATGTTTGGACCACAAAAAAGGGATTGAAAACTGCAGCTAATCAATGCCCGTTGTGGTTGAGGCAAATGGGTTTTTCCAATCACAATCATGACTGCCTGGGAGGCGGGTCCGAAGGGTAGTAACGTCTAACCATTGGCTGGTTGAAGGATTTTTTTTTTCCCCCACCTTCTTGGCCAAAGTCAGTAGTCTAGGGCTCATTAGCAGAAATGAGTTCCCTTCCAAAAAGCTGCTTGTGTATTGAGTTAGAAGTTGTTTCCAGGTCGCAGTCGTAAGAAAAGGGAAAATTAAAAGGAAACAAGAAAAGAAAGAGAACAAAATCTATGGTTAAAACGCTTAATTTAAAATGTCCGTCTGATGGCATTTAAGTGGATCCCGCCCCGCATCCAGTCAAAAGTTGCAGCCCGTCCGGAAACGTCGGAGCCTGAGGAGCCAGGCGGCCGGTCCCTGGACTCCCAGAGTTTTACGCTTGTCTCGGCATTCCGTTCCGCAGGTCCTGCAAGGCAGCAGTCTCCAGAGCCAACATATACATACATCGAAGTACTAAGCTCTCCCAGCAATGCCTCGAACTTGGAAGGGTCGTGGACCCCGAAGGGATACGGTCAGAAAAGAGCGAATTCCGGGGTGGCCCCGGGCTCAGGCGCACGCGCCCTGGAGACCCCGAGCCCTGACGGGGCCAGCGGCCGGCGCGGTCTGCCTGTGCGCCGGGCAGTGCGCCCGGGACACGGGTTTCGGGAAGAAGCCCTTCCTCCTCAGGGGAAGAGCGAAGAATGCTCGCAGAGGCTTTCTCTTGCGGAAGCCGTCCAGAGACAAAGGCAGTCTTGGCGAACGCGGCCCGCTTGTCTGGGCCGGGCGGCGCGGGGTGGGGCGAGAAGAGACGTCCTTAAAAATGGAGCTCCCTGCTCCCTCTGAATTTAACACCCGAACGGCATTGCGACTCGTACTGTTCCTCCAGACGTTCTACGTAGTGGGAAGCATTGCCCTTCGGGTTTATTTCTTTAAGACCTCAATGAAATCTCACGGTCAATTTTATTCATTTATAATATATAAAACATCACTGACAGCAAGACCCTGTCTCAAAAACGATTTGTAAATGGGCACGCTCCCATGCTGTTGACAGGGCTATTATTGATGTGTTTGAAAATAAGCTGGTAGTGTCTATCAAAATTTAAAAGAAGCATTTATTCCCTTATACTTGGCTTCTTTCTAGAACTGTATGCTACTGAAATACACAATGTGGAAATACACAAAGATGGAAATATAGATATATCTGAGGCTTTTTACCACAGCTTCATTGAGGGGACAGCAACCTCAATTTGTATCTACAAGAAGACGACTATATATAGTGAGAAATATATATATTATTAATAATTCCATGAACATACAAAAACAGAATAAGAACCAATGGGCTGGCTGGTATAGGACAGTGGTAGAACGCTTGTTTGGCATGCACAAGGCCCTGGGTTCAATCCCCAGCACTCTCCAGTCTCAAGAAACAAACAACAAAAAAGCCTCCATGTGGAGGTATACATAAAAGTTTGTAAATATATGGCCGAGTATGAAAGGATACTATCCAACTGCTCACCGTGGTTATCTTGTCACCAAACATGGTCTGAGAGGCGCCTCAGAGGAGAAGAGAGAGAGTTCAGTTTGTCCCTACATTGAGTAGGTTCACCAACTTCCATCACAGAAGTGCATTTCAGGACTTGTCAGTGGGAGGCATAGACAGATTGATTAGGCAAAGTTAAAGAGGTACATTCTCTGAGAAAGTGTGAGCCCTCAGAGAGATGCATTATGGTCTGAGGGGGATATTTATGTTCTGGGGATGTCCTCAAGACATGATCTAGGATAGATTTTTTTTAGTGTTTGTCAGGTGAGCTAGTCTATAGGAGAAAGATCGCAGGCTCAAATTTACAGGTGAAAGGCATAGACCCAATTTACAGGCTTATTTATTTTAAAACTCGGGAATTTGAGAGTCACCTGGAATGAAAAAAAAATTTTTTTTGTAACCTAAGGTAACTGTGTCCTGAACTTGCCCTTTTATTAAAAGTACAATTTAAAAATTATGATTTCTCTCTCTTTCTCTCCCTCCCCCCCTTCCCCCTCTCTCCTTTTTTTTGAGATGGGATCTTATTGAGTCACTAAGTTTCTAGGGTGGGCTTGAACTTGCAAACTTCCTATCTCAACCTCCAAGAGTCCCTTGTTTCCTTTCTATCTATCTTTATTTCTTCTGTCATACCTCAATCTCAGTGAGGGATTGGGGTTTTGAGCAAATGATTTAAAAAGACCTTAATTTTAGTTTTATAAGACTACTCTATTAATTTCTTTTTACTGTATTCTTACAACAGGTATTTTTAGTTTAGTAGTATTTATGAGAACCAGCAATTTTAGGTGGCTTGGATCTTCATTGGCAAAATTCTTCCAAAAGTAATAAAAATTTTTCTATAAAAGTATCAGTAAGATACTTTTTGAAAATAGACGTACAAAGTCTAAGTTTCCTAAGAGAAGATAATATTGCAAGAATAGCCAGGAATGCCCTGAAAAAATAAGGCAACCTGAGCTCAAACAATTACAAAAATACTTCTTTTTTTTCCCCCTGCAATATGGGGCATTGAACCAGGGCCTTTACACTGAGCTACATCACTGGCTCTAGGCATACAGCACAACACCCAGCTTATAATTTAAGACAGTTTATTACTAGCATATGAATAGACAGACAAATCAATAAATCAAAATAGAAGCTCCAGAAGTAAAATTAAATATTAGAAATTTTGACAGGGCTTGATGGAAATATGCCTGTAGTCCCAGATATTATAGGACTATAGGCAGTAGGATTGTGATTTCAAGGCCAGCCTAGAGAACATTGGGAGACCCTGTCTCTTCTAAGAAAAACAAGGGGTCAGGGCCAGGGATTTAGCTCAGTGGTTCCGGCGCCTGCCTTGCAAGTGCAAGGTCCTGAGTTCAATCCCTGGTACCAAAAAAAAAACAACAACAAGGGGTCGAGGGGGTAGGTAAGTACCCCAGGACCACAAATAAATTTCAATGTATATGTATCAAAATATATGAAAATTTAATATATGACTAAAGTTCACATTTCAAATCACGTACGGAAGTGCTGATTAATTTTTAAAAGATATCTTGGGGTTGGGCTGGGGATTTAGCTCAGTGGTTTCGTGGCCTGCTGTGCAAGCGCAAGGACCTGAGTTCAATCCCTGGTACCAAAAAAAAAAAAAAATCTTGGGATTATGGGTACATGCCTATAATCACAGCTATTCATGAGGCTGAGGCAGGAGGATCCAAGTTCCAGGCTGGCCTCGGCAATTTAGCAAGACCCCATTTCTAAATATAGTGGACCCTTGGCTTACAAACTCGATCAGGTCCCGGGGGGTTGGTTGTGACTAAGTCAGTACAGCTGAGATGTGGATATTTACCTGGGTACATGCTATAGATAACAAAGGGCAGATGAATCTTTCATTAACCTAATTAGTCCAAGTTGTTCATATGTCAGGCCAGTTGTAACTTGGGGGTCCACTGTAAATAAATAAATAAATAGGTAGGACTGGGGATAAAGCTCTGGTAAAGTGCAGCCTAGCATGTAGGAGCCCCTGGGTTCGACCCCCTGGGTTCAATCCCCATACTGGAAAAAAAAAATCTTTTCAGAAAAATAAAGTTGGATTATCTACCTGCCTTCTTACAAAATTAATATCAAGTCAAATATTAAAAATATATGTTAGAACAAGCCAGGCATGGTGGTGTACACCTGTAATCCCAGCACTTGGAAGGCTGAGGCAAGAGGATTGCCATGTTAGCAAGAGTGTACATATAAAATAGTCATTCTCATTGCTAGTGGGAAGTTGGTAGAGTCCAGAGAAGACAATTTGGCAATATCTATTGATAGAATCCATTTGGCTCCACTGATGTGGTATGAAGATTATTTTAAGCTGAAAATATCTGAATGAATAGCAACCACAGGGAAAAAAAAATATGAAAACTTTTGCTGGCTTGACCAAAGCCTTTGGAAAATACAGCCACCATAAATCACCTCTGGAAGGTTTATAGCCAGAAAGGATATAGACCATTCACACCAGTGTGAAAAATTACATTAAAAAAAAAACTTTGTCAAAATTTTGTGTACCTTCAGTCTGGGCCCAGTAGCATGTTCCCATAGTCCTAGTCATTTGTGAGACTAAAATGGAGGATCAGTTGAGTCCAGGAGTTTGATATCAGTCTAGACAAGATAGCCAAGAATTTGTCTCAAAAAGTTTTTTTCCTTTACCTTCCATGCGTTTCTCTAGTTTCCTTCTGTTGATGCTCCTTTGAAGTCCCAAACCCCCTTCTTATTAAGATGATGTGTAAACTCTCAACTCTGTGGGTTCAGGGAGCCTCTTAATTGTGTGTTCTCATATAAATGAATAAACTTTCTTCCTGTTACTCTCTATTGTCTGTTAATTAGTAGATCTCCAGGGTCTGAATCTGAGTTGGTGGAGCAAAGTTATTTTTCCCCCTCCTAACACTATCAAAATTGCAAATACAAATATGTGATTAAATTTTTAGGATTATATCATATAGATATAAATAAGTATAAAATCATATATGCACAAAGTTATTTATGGTAGCAATATTTGTATTAGTA